GGGAAGCCCCAGCCCAGCCCGTTGCACCGTCCGGGCAGTTGGGGAAGTTGGGGAAGGGAAGCCCGGGCAGCAGCTGCTGCTGCAGGGCCACCTCAGCCTGCCCCAACACCAGCCTTTGGGGACGGGCTGATGGAATGAGCCCTACATGAAAGGCACGGAGCTGCTGCGGGAGCCCCGTGCCCCGCAGGACGTGGGTCTGGGGGAGCCTGCGGGGTACCCGGCCCCGAGCACCCCCGGCCGGAGCGGGGAGCCCAGCAGGACCCGCCTGTCCCAGCCCGCCCGGCTCCTGGCACAGCGACCCACGGCAGCCGGGGAGAACCTTCCTGATGGACGAAGGGCCAACCCTCGGGCTCTGCCCCGGCTCCACCACCGCTTCCAGCTGTCACAACACGGCAGCAGGGCCGGGTTGTCCTCCTGGGAAGGGCTGAGCTGAGCCAGTTCCCAAGCACCCAGACTGGGAGCAGCAGGGATTAATGTAAACCAAGAGCATGGCCAGCCCCCCCACGGCCAACTGCTCCCAAACTGCAGAGATTCCTGCCTGGAGAAGCTTGCACCACAGTGTGGGAAGCATTACTAGAAGGACATTTCATTGAATTTTTAGCCACATAATAAGCCAGGCCTCCTGCAAGCACAGAGACTGCATTCTAAGGAAGAATCACACACAACTTGCTTAAGTAACTGCAATATTTTCTTTCAATGAGATGCTCAGAAATGGGCTCAAACAGTAAATGAAGAACTTTGAGGCATCAGGGGGGTTCTGACTCCCCATCCCTGCCTTCACCAGCTCTGACCTGAGGGCAGGATCAGCTTCAAGCCACGGGGATGCCAGAGCCTGGGCATGCAGAGGCCCTGGCTTCCTCTCCCAGCAAAGCCAGATGCTTCCCAGGAGCAGATCTGGATATTTTCTTGCTCAGCTTTGTTATCATCTGTGTTTTCACTTGCTCCTTGTCACTAAGGAACTAACTGGAGATGCCTTTTTTTCCTCTTTTAAAGATGCTTTCATCAGTGTGTCGACACAAGGATGTTACTCAGAGTTACTGCTGCAGGAGCGTGCGAAGGAAGGAAGGGAAGTCATTATGAATCCAAAGATGTTCGAAATAGAAAGATGCTTTTCCCTTGGGTATCTGAGGCCAGATTGCTAGGGAAGCAAGTTCATCCTTTTCTCTGGGTTAATCAGAGCTGAGTAAGAAAGAGAAAAGCAAGCCTGTGTCAGCCAGCCCACTGCAGATGTCCCCAAGCTCCATACCTAGTGTCCCTCAACCAGGCCCCTGCAGAGCACTGGGAACCCATCACTTCCCTGCCTGGGGTGCACTGGCCAGACTGAGGACACACCAACATTTGCCTGCAGACCCTGCCTGAGCCTGCCCCTCCGAGCCTCCCCCAGGGGCTGTGACCAGTTTTGACAGAAGAAAAGCCCTAAATGGTGCTTTTCATCAGAGACCCGGGATGCGCCAGGATGTGCAGGGAGCAGGATGCATTCCCTTTGTCATTCTAAGGTACTTTTGGTTCATTACTTCAGAAAGCCCCATTGAGGGCCAGCACTGCAGCCCTCCATGCCTCATTGGGCACAGAGTAAAGGAGGGGATTCCCACTCATTGTGAGCCCAGCACCGGGAGGCCTGAGTCCCTGCAACCTTTGGCCGCTCGCTTTTACTTGACCCCGTGGAAAAACATTTGGTTTCTCTGCTAAGCTGCCAGAGGCTACAGGGAATTCTGTTCTTGCAGCCTGGTTGCTTCCAGCACCAGCTGGATGTCTGCACTGGGTTAGCTGGAGGTGAGGGCTGGGTTTTAAGGCAGGAATGTACATTTAAACACATCCAGGCAAGATCCATTGCAAGAGCAACCCCAACAGGAGCTATGGCTCCTCTTTCAAATCTTTGCTCTTCAAATGTTGTGCCTTTGAAAACTTCCTCTATTTGGCTGCGTGGTGTAGACTCTGCCTTCCTCAGCAGGCAGCTCAGGCTGACAGAGACCTGCTGGCCCCATCTCTGCACATACAGATACATCTATAGGTGCATCTTAGCAAGACCCTCCCCACTGTCACCACTGCTAGGACAGAGAACTGGGAAAGCACGTGTGATGCTTCACAACGTGAGTCTGCAGCTCTAAAAACCAAAAGCTAAAGGTTTCAGCAGCTCATAAAGGAGAGAAGAGCTGAGGGGAAGACAAAGAAATTCAGAGTGATGGAAGAAGTCTAAAAAGATAAACCCTAACACACCCCGATGCAGAAAGACTAAAAAATAATAATAATAAAGCTTCACCATGACTGGAAACTGCCTTTTCAGAGTTTCCTAGGAGGCTGCACCCAGCTTCCAGGTGTGTCCACCCACCCTGTTCCCAGAGCTCTGCAGTGCCCAGGCTGCCCTGGCAGTCAGGCTGCCCTCCCACCCCCCAGACACCCAGCACCGAGCTCAACAGACACTCCTGAGTAGT